TTATGTATTGAACTAAAGTAAATATAATACTATTTAATTACTATTTAAAAATATAACTTATATCATTGCTTTTTCTTCCATTTAATAATAATAATAATTCGTTACATTTATATAGCGCTTTTCTGGACACTCAAAGCGCTTCACATAGAAGGGGGGGATCTCCTCAACCACCACCAATGTGCAGCATCCACCTGGATGATGCGACGGCAGCCATATTGCGCCAGAACGCTCACCACACACCAGCTTACTGGTGGAGAGGAGACAGTGATGAAGCCAATTGGTGTATATGGGGATGATTAGGAGGCCATGATAGACAGAGGCCACTGGGCAAATTTGGCCAGGATGCCGGGGTTACACCCCTGCTCTTACGAAAGACATCCTGGGATTTTTTATGACCACAGAGAGTCAGGACCTCGGTTTAACGTCTCATCCGAAGGACGGTGCTCTTGACAACATAGTGTCCCCATCACTTTACTGGGGTGTTAGGACCCACACAGACCACAGGGTGAGCACCCCCTGCTGGCCTCACTAACACCTCTACCAGCAGCAACCTGGTTTTCTCAGAAGGTCTCCCATCCAGGTACTAACCAGGCTCAGCCCTGCTTAGCTTCATTGGGCAACCAGTCTTGGGCTACAGGGTGATATGGCTGCTGGCAAACATTTAAACATTTATTATTCAAATTATTAAATAAATAATACATTCAATAATTTATTGTGTATATAAAAATATAATAATACTTATTTTCCACCATCTTTAAAAATCCTACAATGTGATTTCCTGGATTATTACAGACCTCTCTCATTACTCTAATTAGGAGAACTTGCACAATCAGTGGCTTACTAAATACTTTTTGGCCCCACTGTATATGTTTATGTTAATATACACCAATATATATATATATATATATATATATATATGAAGAGTTCAGATGCAAAAGCCTCTAAATGCCATTTGAAATTTTCTACTTTAATGATGATTTTTATCAAACTTGTATATTTAAGTTCAGTAATTTCACTTAAATAACAATTAATAGGTAATCTTCATTGCCATTTAAGTGAAATCACTGAACTTAAATATACAAGCTTGATAAAAATGATCATTCTAGAAGAAAATTTCAAATGGCACTTAGAGGCTTTTGCATCTGAACTCTTCATATATATATATATATATATATATATATATATATTATCATGAACTTCACAGACCAATATGCACATTCAAAATGTTGGTTCCTTGAATTATAGGACTTCCCTTTAACCTGTTAACTGTCACCCCCCTTTTTTTGAATAGACATGGAAATGCACATTTCAAACTTAAATGGTTGTAATTCAAGAATGCTTTGGTATATAGACGTAAAATTGGTCTTGTTTTAAAGAAGACATTTGGCAGATTTTTGTCGAAGTGAAATATATTAAGAAAGTGAAACAGCAAAGTTCATGGAAATGCACATGTAAAAAAAAATAATTATTCATATTTTATATAAAATATACATTTTCAAAACCTGGGCTACTCTAAAACTGCAGAAAAATCAAAGGCAAAAATCTGAACAAGTTGTGTTTAAAATTTTAGGTTGATATCTCAAAAAATGAGCTTTCTGTGAGATTTTGTTTGGGCGCAGTACCAAACTTTTTCACTAGGGCACAATCATCCTCCATTACTGCCCATATAAGGGCGCCTCCATTTCCATATGCGTTTTGAGTGATCTGAACCATCATTTACACAATTTTCATACAATTTATGAAGTAGAGATCCTATTTAGAAGTAGTATGGGAAGTTTGTCAGATTTTGATATGAATTCAACCTCTAAGAAACGCATACAAAGAACACGCATGTGCGTTATAGCTTCCTGCCACCTCACAAATGGTGAATTTATTATAACATTTTCAGACCTTTTTTTTCTAAAATAATTAAATGGATGCAATCTTTTGAACTCTTGGCATGAAAACAAACTGATGTTTCTACCTTTTTTCATGATTTTTCATGTTCATTGCTATTTCAAAACAAAGGTCTGAACACTATTTATGAGTCTGGAAATATTCTTGTTGCAAATTGATAAATTACGGCTCCTGTGTAATTTATTTTGAGAAGATGGAAACCAAATATGGAAACTAGAAATTGTAAGCTTTCATATGATATAAAGTTTGTCAATATTACTTAAGGTCTGTTTTAAGATATTATTGTTTTAAAAATATAATGGCAAGCCGTGACAGTTAAGGGGTTAATGGTTTAAGCCTATTTATTTTTCTATATTAACAATTCATGATTATATTATAAAAGCATTTTATTATTTGCGCTGATCAGTGTTGTGATTGCAAACCACAAGTTAAGGACCACTGCAAAAGAGAGACCCCGGTGGCATGATGGGATACCTTGAACTCCATGGGTGTGTATAAGTCGTTCTTGGGCGCACAGCTGTTCTCTTTATAGTGTAAGTGGTTGGGAGTGCTGGGATGAATGACTGCGGACTCTTGAGGAGGTTTGCGGAGTCTCTGACAGTACACGTACACCAGGACGGACAGCAGAACAGCTCCCACAAAACAACATGCGCCCGTCAGCACCAAGTGGAACAGAGAAAACCCTGCAGGAGACAAAAACAAACATTTACCCACGGTCGATAGCCACATGAAAACCTCAATGCTGTTTGATTTTTCTTAAGTTGCATTTACCTCCACAGTTTGAGTTCCTCCTCTGTCCCTTTGACAGCACTAGAATAAAGAAAACGATGTGAACCTGAGATGCCAGGCAGGATTTAAGGAGAAGAGGGAAAGGAACTAACCTGCGCTCTCATTGGGCCGACACGTTCTCTGATCTGTAGAGTTTCCTTGGCAAGAGGAGTTTAATTCACATAGTCGACCGCGGAGCTGCTTCCCCTCCTCATTACACTCCGCCCACTCTGACCACGCCCCCCACCCACCTGACACACGTGAGAAACAACAGAACACAAATGTGTTTTGCAGTCATAAAGAGTCTTCCCTGCCATTTTCCGGCAATCCATGTTTCCATCTATGTCTTTGATCATCGTTCGGAACTCGATCCGAAGTAGTCTAACAATAACACAATTTTCTAAGCTCTTTATTCAAAAGCATTTTTTATTAAACGCCAAAATGTTCTTTTTTTTCTATATATTTATTTCTTAAAAGTACTAAAAGAAACATTAATGAAGCTGTAAAATGTTAAAACTGAAATATGAAAATTAAGTTTTTAATGTTGTTAATATGTATGTCCAACCCGATCTCACGACCAAGTCGTACGAATTCGACGAATGATTAGAAAGTGGCTAATTCGTAACAATTCATACGACCTCACTCGTGCGAATTAGTACGATTTTGCTGAATCGTACATATTTTACGAATTTGGCCAATTCGTATGAATTCGTACGAATGACCTACCCCTTACCCCGCCCCTAAACCTAACCATCACGTGGGTTTAGACAAATCGTACAAATTCGTACGAGTGAGGTCGTACGAATTAGACACTTTTTAATCATTCGTCGAATTCGTACGAATTGGGCGTGAGATAGTGTTGATATATCTGGTGTTTTAATATGCTTTAAGACAAACCATGTGTAAATTCATAAGTCGACAGCATTGGTGAGTGTTTTCTCCTTAAAACTGATCCAAAGAACACGGTTTGAAATTGCTGGTGTTTCTGATGCCAGACACGATCTTGTAACCAATCAGATCAACGAGTGGATCTCTGAGCTGTGAGTGGAGGTGGGGCTCATTTGCATATTCATAGAACAGCGTGTACTGAGGCAAGGGTGTCGAGTTACATTCAAGCTATTTTAAGGAATGAAGAATGTTTTTTTCTTTGAAAAAAAGGCATTGAGAAATATTTTAAGGAAAAAACATTTAAATATGTAATTTTGGTGATCAAAGATGAGTTTTAAGGATTACAATTATTGACTACAGGGGGACTTTAAGAGTAATCGGTGTTGTTGTTTTCTCACCTTCACACTCGTGTGTGTTACAGAGAGCTTCCTCCGTGTGCAGGCCGATGCAGATCTCTCCAGAATGAGCAGGCGTGGGGTTAGAGCAGGTTCGAGAGCGCTGGTAGTGACCGCCGTCACAGGAAGAAGAGCACTGGGACCAGGAAGACCAGCATGACCACGCCCCCTTCACTGAAAAACAACACCCGTTATCACACTACTCCTTGGACCAAGACTTTTAACCCTAAAACCGTATTCTGGACAAATGTGGGCAAAAGAGTTTTGATTTTTTTTTTTTTAAATACTTCCCTTGATCTGAGCGGTACAAGACTTGGCTACTTTTCCTAAGTTTGCCTCCTGAACACACACATTTTTTTTACTCAATTCTACAATGTTAAGTGGGTGAAAAAAAAACTCCTTAATCTTGTATTTGGGTCAAAAATGGGCACCCATAGAAATGAATGGGAAAAACTGTAATTTAGAGCATTCTAAAATAAGCCAAAATAAGACACCAGGTGACAGCAAAGCCACTTCATCTTTAGGTTTTAGCTCTAAGAACTTATTGGAATGATATTTTAATGTAGTTAAAAAATATTAAAAAATAAAACATAAAAATAAGCATAATTTACATAGAAAATATGGTACTTTTTGAAGTAAATAAATTCAAAAATACCCCCAAAATAAAAAAAAACACCATAAATGGATAGACAAAACTTTATCGAAGACAGTGATATAATAACATTTATAATAAATAAAAATTAGGATCACACCTGAGTCCTCTGTGCCCACATTTACAGGATTAAGGGCTATTAAGTGAATACGGTTTGAGGGCTACAGTCCCTTACTTAAAGGGGATGTCTAAAGCTATTTCATGCATTCTGACTTATTTACACTGTTAAAGAGTTGAATTCATATGCTGAACATGGCCAAAGTTTTTAAAAAAATAGTTGGAAGTATGACGTTATTTCTGTACCAAAAACACTCCTTCAGGATTCGGCTGTTTTTGGGGAGAATCAGTACAGCATATTTGTCTTTTACAAATCTGATAAAACTAAAGACTCTTTGGAGATATAAAGGATGCAATACTACTCTATAGGTCCTCAAGAATAACAGGAGAAACTGTGTGTATTATGTACCCTTTAATAACGGGACATGAGGAAACTCTGACCTGGGCATGGCTGAGAGTTGCAGTCCTGATACTCGACGGGCGTCCCGCTGCAGGCGAACGGTGTGCTCTTCCCATCAGGAGTGGCACAGGAGCGCTTGCGTGTGCGAAAGCCTTTGGAACACTCTTTGGAACATGCAGACCACGTTTCCCATGATGACCAGGCGGCTCCTTGCACTCGTGTAACGGGTCGACCCATTCTCAACAAGTCCTCAACTAGACCTACAAGCATAAAAGTGTACATATAGGAGGGCTGCACAACTAATCAAAATCATTTTGAGTCGATTTAAAGGTACAATATGCAGGATTTTTGCAGTAAAATATCCAAAAACCACTAGGCCAATGTTATATATTTTGCTTAGTTGATTACCTACAATATCCCAAATGTTTCAAACTATTTGTAAATCGTGAAAAAATAGCGATTTTTAACCAAGGAAACGGGGCGTGTGAGCAGGAGTCACCAGTCAATGACGTCATATCCACGTTACCCCCGGTTTCCGCCAGGTTTGACCTCGTACTGCAATAGTAACCATGGCGACAGACGTGGACAACTGGGTCGGTTATGCCCGTTACGTGAGCTCAACAGCGTGAGCGTCCCTAGCAGGGTTTTGCTCAAACATTATGGACCATGGCAAGCAGACAAAAAGAAGACTAAAGCGAAGATCAACATCTTTGAAGATGCCGAGAGCTCCTCGTCCGCGACTAACTTCGACTTGACAGAGACGCGAGTGTTGCATGTTACTTGAGCAAACAGGTGAGCAAATTAATGTATATAAAACTAATCAATGTTATATAGTTCAACATGATGAAAAGTTAGAATATGATCTGCATGTTAATCTAGCTTGGTCTCATACAGCCAACAAACAACCTAACTAACATTCAACACACACAAATGCAGTTTAAGTGTGTTAGTGAAACTGTTAGAGCAAGTGTGTTACCTCAAGTTTAATTCCTCTAATAAACTGACCTGTGTGAGTAATTCAGCGTGTAGTTCGGTAGATTGAAATGTCCTTCCTTTATATCCGCGGGACTCGCGTTGCGTGTGGCGCTGGTATACGTCTAGCAATCGCGCCCTGCTTCATACTACAGTCATGTTAAAGACATCACTGTATTCACTCATCCATAAAAGATCCATCAGCTTGACGACAAAATCCATCAGTGTTGTAGTACTCGAGGCTCATACTCGTCTCGGACTCCAGACCATGTTTTAATGGTCTTGGACCATATTTTAATTTTCTTGGTCTTGTCATGGACTCGTGTGCATTTGCACTCGGAATTGACTCGTACTCGAACTATTTTTTTTTAGGACTCGGACTTATTCCCGAGTCCACTCGAGTTCAATTCAAAATATTTTTCATGATTATTAATGTATGTTAATAAAATATTTCTTTAAATTGATTGACACGCCCAGTGATTGGTGATTTTCTAGTGCGCAACTGCGCATGACAAATTGTAATAAAATTACTTTTAACACCACCTACTATGTGGCCTTTTTACCCTAAACTGATCATATTTTTTTAAACTCTAAGTAAATTCAGTACAAAAAAAGGATTTCTCCAAGTAAATAAAAGTAAATTAGGTAATGAACCCTCACTGGTCCTGGTCTCGACTCGGATTCGACCGTCTCTGGTCTCGGACTCGACTCTCTCTGGACTCGGTCTCGACTCGGACTCGAGTGAGGTGGTCTCGACTACAACACTGAAATCCATAATTCTGCTTAATGCGGAATATACGTCATCAATATACACCTTTCTTATTATAAGAGGTTAGCGACCCCTGGTGGCGAAACAATCTTACATATTGTACCTTTAACGTGCATTTGGGAACGCAACATGCACCAGCCATCTTCCCAAACTTGTGATGAGAAGAGTTTGAGGGAAGAGTTTCCCATCAAAGTTTAATGGTTTCGTATTAAGACAGCCATAAATATTAGTATTGCAATTTTATAGTTACACTGAGCGTCTTTAGTTCTTTATAATTATTATTTAATATATAACCACAAAAATTTGGGACAAATTATGTAGCCCTACAAACAAGCAAACATGGATTTTTTTAAATCCCATTTAAAATTTTAATAGAATTTCCTCCCAAATCGTGTATGTGTGTGTGTGTGTGTGTGTGTATACCGTCAGTCTCACAGACAGCAGCTCCGTCAGTGGTGGGACAGAGGCGAGTCTCTATCTTGCGTTTGCCGAGCTGCAGGTCGTGAGGGTCAGCGAGGAGAGCCCTACAGGTGTACCTGACCCTCTGTTCCTGTCTCGCACCCATCTGAGTCACATTAACAGCGTACCAGGGGGTCCACGGCGTGGTGCGCCTCACCTCGGCACACGCGTCCAAATTACACGCCTTGTACTCCTGGATGCAGTAACACACACATGATAGATGTTGATAAGTCTATGTGATTTTTTGGGGTTTTTGTTGATTTTATGACTAGCTGAAGAGCCTACCAGAGGGCAACCAGGACACGTGTTGCCATTCTCGCAGGTTCGAACACGGGATTGGACTCCACCACCACAGGCAACGCTACATTTGGACCAAGCGCTCCAGGAGAGCCAGGACACCGGAACAGGACATGGATTCTTTTCGTTACACAATCTGAATCACACAAACATGAACGACTCATCTTCCAGTCACCTCAAACAAACACGTGGGCACTTGGAGTTGGTTCTTTTATAGTTTAGGCTGGAATACACTAAAAAATGACTTTCAAAGGGCATTTTTCCTTAACACTCAAGTAACTCAAGCCGTTTTTTCGTTCCAAACATGTTCTGTGTGAACCAGCCTTAAGAGCATTTTTCGTGGCAAATGAAATCATATCAAATCAAAAGCATGTAGCACATCTCTCATCTGGCCTCACCTCTCCTCTCGCGCCTGACCTACGCATACGCGTCCTCCGTGACGGGGTGCTGGGTTGTTGCAGGACCGCTGACGGACCTCAAATCCAATGCCACAACTGGTGCTGCACTCGGCCCAGGACGACCAGGGGGTCCAGCCTCCATTCCTGAACACACAGAAGTAGGAGTTAGAAGTTATCTAATAAAACACGCCTAAGCGAGCACAAGAGACCTCTTTAAAAAAAAACATTACAAGTCTTACAGAGACATAAGATGTCTATATGTAAATGACCTTGATTATGATTGGCCAAGCTCTGCGTACAATTACCTTTCATTATATCGTTCATCACAGCAGCTGCTAAATGCTGTATAGGAGTCGATAATGTGAGCAGGGTTGTGATGTCAAAACTTGCCGGCTCAGAAAAGTTAAAAATAAAGACATCGTTAAAATAGTCCGAGTGACTACAGTGGCTCAACCTTAAGTTTATCAAGCCATGAGAACACTTTTTGTGTGCAAAAAACAAACAAAAATAACCATTTTATTCAACTATTCATTTACTTCTCTGTCGGGCGTGAGATTTCACGTAGTGTAACTGCGCAACGCTTCTGTGTTGCACGTCACATGTAGGCTCACTAGTGGCCGACGTTGGTCATGTGTGTGTGATGTGTGTGATGTACAACACAGAAGCTCTGCGCAGTTACACTACGTGAAATGTCACGGCCGACAGAGAAGTAAATGAATAGTTGAATAAAATGGTTATTTTTGTTTGTTTTTTGCGCACAAAAAGTATTCTCGTCATTTGATAAACATAAGATTGAGCCACTGTAGTCACTCAGACTATTTTAACAATGTCTTTAATAACTTTTCTGTGCCGGCCAGTTTCGATCCCTTAAAGGAGTAGTTCACTTTTAAAAAACCTTTTGCTGATAATTTACTCACCCCCATGTCATCCAAGATGTCCACGTCTTTCTTTCTTCAGTCAAAAAGAAATTAATGTTTTTGATGGAAACATTCCAGGATTTTCTCCATATAATGGACTTCAATGGGAACCAAACGGTTCAAAGTCCAAATGAGAGTTTCAGTGCAGCTTCAAAGGGCTTTAAACGACACCAGACGATGAATAAGGCTTTTATCTAGGACCCTTCGAGTCATGACTCGAAAAAAATATTCCTTCATTTTGATGAACGAGTTTGAAAAGGAGAGTCACGAACGCTCATCACAGAACAGAGAAGGCGAGCATTTGAGCTTATAAAACTTAAACTTTTTAATTTATTTTTTAAATGAGCGATCGTTTCGCTAGATAAGACCCTTATTCATCGTCTGGTGTCGTTTAAAGCCCTTTGATCCAGCTCTCAGATTTAATCAAAAATATCTTCATTTGTTTTCTGAAGATGAACGAAGGTCTTACGGTGTTGAACAACAAGAGGGTGAGTAATTACTGACAGAATTTTCATTTAGGGGTGAACTATCCCTTTAACAGTAGCATTCTGAAAAACATGTATTAGCCGCTGATTACTCAAACTGTTGATCATTTATCATGTATCTGCTCCAGTTGAAAGATCCTGCTGTTTTTTTTTTTGTTATACTGAAACATTGCGTCCTGTTAGCTTCTTGGTGATGTGTGTGTTTAAACAAGCTCTCTAGGTGAAGAAATAATTGGAACATTGATTCAGAGACTGCAGGATAATGGGACAAGCCAGAACTGTGGCGTCAGCATCTCGTAGTTAATGAATACATCCACTCGTTACACGCAGCTCGTCTGTATCAGTGCTCGGGATTGATGGACTCGAGGTCTCAGTCTCTGCAGCTGTTAGCGTTGGGTGGTTCCTTTCTCTCACGGAAGAGCTGAATCAGAGGGAATAAAAGCTTCTGACACTTTGATTGTCTGTGATTGAAGACTTCATGCTGATCGCTCTGGCTCTCATATATCACTCTGACCACACTGTTTACACCTGGCAATTTCCAGATTTTAAAAGGCTAGTTCATCCAAAAAAAAAAAAAAAGAGTTCATCTGCCATCATTTACATTACTGACTCATACCCTTACCAACCCCTATGACTTCCTATTCTGTGGAACGACAGTGAATAAGTGGTGAGATGTACATTTGAGTATTGTTTGTAAGGTACCTTTGGGCAGTTTACAAGATAAAATAATCAGCTACTCTTTGAAATCACAATTGTATTGCATTATGTTGTTTTAAACCACTAATCTTTTACCTTGAACCTGCTTTATTAACAATTATTTGCTATATGCAAAGTGGTTGTAAAAAAAGTTACATATTTTACATAGATAGTTACTTGTAGTGTAGCTAACTACTTTTTCAGAAGGGTAGCTTGACTGTATCATAACTAGTTTCACTAATGTGTAACTTCTAGTTAGTCAAACTATAGTTTCAGAGTAGCTTCCCCAACACTTATGACTTGTGTGCTATATTTCAAGTCTTTCAAATATGTATATGTACAGTATACCATTGAAAAGTTTGGGCGCACTTAGATTGTTGTTGATTTGTGGTCAATTTAAATATTTATTAGCTAATCATCAGAGCAAACTAATTGTGTGTAAATGTTTGTAACTAGGTGCATTTTTTATATTTTTATTTGTGTGTGTTGTAACTTTGATGTTAAATGTCCATGTAAACTAAGCGGCTTATCTTGGCCAGGACACTCCCGAAGAAGAGATTTTAATCTCAGTGAGTCTTTTTTCCTGGTAAAATATAGGTAAAAAAAAATTTTTTTTTTTAATTAAATTGATCAAAAGTGACAGTAAAAACATTTATTATGTAACAAAATATTTCTATTTTTAAAAAAGATGTTTCTATTCACAAAAATATAAATGTTTTCAAATATTTATAAGCATCATAAATGTTTATTGAGCAGCAAATCAACATATTAGAATGATTTCGGAACTCGGAAGGATCATGTGACACTGATGACTGGAGTAATGATGATGAAAATTCAGCTTTGATCACAAGAATGAATTACATGTTAAAATATATTGCAATAGAAAACAGTTATTTTAAATGGTAATACAATTTCATAATATCACTGTTGTTTTTAATGTAGTTTTGATCAAATAAATACAGCTTTGGTGAGCATGACTTTCAAACCATGAAAAAAATTATGTTTGAATTATGTTCGCATATGTGCAAATACTGCTAGTCGAGATATATGTCATGCCAGGTTGGTTGTCAGTGATGCTAAATATCATGTTTCGCATGTGCTTAGTAACCAATCGCAACATGACAAGTTTGAATGTGCAGAGTGCTTTTATAGTGTTTTGTCCTTTTTTGGCTTTAACAAGTGTGGTCAGTATCGTGGTCATTGTAAGGAAAAGATATGGGTGAGTACAGTGAGTGTACCTGGAGCAGTTGGCCACCTCTATGTTGGCACCGACACACTTCATCCCTCCACACTGGGGTCGAGGGTTATCACAGGACCTGGTGCGACACTGACACGTGCTGGTGCCTTCCCCTCCGTCATCATGGTTACAAGCCTGCCATGGGGACCAGTGGCCAAATCCACCATCTTGGGTAAGTTTCCGCTCCTGTGAAGTTAAACACAAACCATAGCGTCCCTAGTTGATTGATCACAGTACATTAGGACAACTGTTTTGTATTACACGTTTTCTGAAATGTTATGTTTAAAACAATTGCATCTGATCCATGTTATTCCTGATCAGAAGCTTACATTAATATTTAGTTTAGTTTAATGGCAACTCAACTCTAGGAATGACAAACATTCTGCAAAAGTTTGGGGAAACACTCACTAACTGTTAAAGTCATTAAAGTCGTTACTATGGAAACAGTCGGTATTGCCTGTTAGCATGGTAGAAAGTACTTTCAGTGCATAGTACAAGTATACAACTTGGGACGAACCCAAAGCTTTCAGTGTGGTAGAAAATTAGGTTTGTTTATTATTGCTCCTCTGAGGACACAAGCCATCAGAGATAATAGGAAATGTGTGATGTCTAATTATGAACCTAATGAAGTGTCGAGAGGGAACAGGAGTGACATTGGCCAGCCGTCGTGCAGAACACCAGCGTGTAATTGACACTGTCAGAGTCTGGATCAGCTGGGTTAACCTTCAGGCTCTTCGGCACGAACTTGATTCTTCGTGACCAGCGCAAAAATTCATAAGAGATTGTTGGTGTACTCAAAGAACGCTTTTATGAATCTGATCTGAAGAATCTCTGAGCTGGAAATGTAATCTTTGTAGAATAGAATAGAATAGAATAGAATAGAATAGAAACATAATAAAAAAGAATAGAATAGAATAAGAGTGTGGAATCTAATAGAATGGAATAGAACAGAACAGAATAGAATAGATCATATTAAATTAGAATAGAACAGAATACAGAATAGAATAGAACAGACCAGAATAGAACATAATACAGCAGAACAGATAAGAATCAAACAGAATATAACATAATTGAATATAATACAATCGAACAGAACCGAAATTAAGATTATAGAATAGAACAGAATGCAGAATAGAACAGGACAGGATAAAACTGATCATAATAGAACCAAAATAGAATAGAACAGAGTAGTATAGAACAGAATGGGATATAACAAAACTATGTGAAATATAAAAGAGTATAAAATAGAACAGAATACAGAATAGAATAGTATGGAACAAACCAGAATAGAACATAATACAGCAGAACAGAAAAGAATCAAACAGAATATAACATAATTGAATATAATATGGAACAGAACTGAAAATAAGATTATAGAATAGAACAGAATGCAGAATAGAACTCGACAGAATAGAATAGATTATAATAGAACCAAAACAGAATTGAACAGAGTAGTATAGAACAGAATGGAATAGAACAAAACTATATAAAATCTAAAAGAGTATAAAATAGAACAGAATACAGAATAGAATAGTATAGAATAAACCAGAATAGAACATAATACACCAGAACAGAAACAAATAGAATAGAATAGAATAGAATAGAATAGAATAGAATAGAATAGAATAGAATAGAATAGAATAGAATAGAATAGAATAGAATATTGGTCTTACAGGGCACTTTGTGATGTCTTGGCTCCACTGGCTCATGTTGGAACTGTCCTCAATCGTCGTACAGCGCTTCTCTCTCCGGTCCCATCCGCAGTACGGATCCCTGGCGCCCAGACAATCCCTGCGGAAACACACACATACAAACAGTCACAAATCAATGACAACATCGTAATAACTACCAGTGTAGAGTGTGTCGTGAGAACTTAACAAGAGAGAAATCTACAGTATCTACAGTATACGGCATAATGAGGATTACATCTCAGTGCAATTCAAGCACGAATTTCCAAAAAAACTAATAGATTACATTATACTAATTAATTAGTAAAATTAATTATGCCCCTTCTCACTAATAGAGCATCACAGTCCCGCCCACAGCCCGAGAGAGCTTTGGTGCCGGAAGTAAAATTCCCATTCATTTCTCCCATTGACGTTTTGTAAAATCCATATCTAAAGAGTATTTGTCTGAGGATAACCAGCTACCGCTGAACTCATAAGAATACAACATATCATTTCGAGTGAAAAAATGAAGAGAAAATCCAAAAAAAGGTCAAGGGTACAAGCCTGTGTACATATTCCCATTTCCGAGCAAAGGAACTACTCCTCCCATAAACCACCGCGCCTCACTGAAGCCGACTGAAGCCACCGTGAAAGAGCCTTTTGAGTGACTTCCAAATCTGACGACGGCCGCGTGAACTTTTTCCTCCAGTGAATTTTATATAGTGAAAGTGCAGGGAAACTCCTTTTCCTCGATTTATCCACATGCTAAAACAGTGAGCATCTGGCTCGCTCATTGGCTGTGCTGCGGAAACTGAACATCCAATGGTGCGGTCGTCTCTGAGGTGTGACCAATCAACTTAGCCCTACGTCATTACGCAATCTTCAGTCTTCATGGACCTTCGTTGGGTTTCAGACACGTGACATGACTTCCACCATTTAAATGCATTACTGTGGGATTGCTCAGGATTGTGGGTAATGAAGTACTCATCCAAGACATCCCGAATTAAAGGAATTTATCTTCAAACAAGGTTAGTGCCCCATGAACTTTTGGCGTTTATATGAGAATATACAATCGCTTAGTACAGCCGTAGGCTGGTTTTTAGTCTACCATATATGGTTACGTTTTTATGGCTTATATCTCAAATGTCAATGGAGAAATTGTATTGAATTCTTACTTCCGGCACCGGCTGTGGGCGGGACTGTGATGCTCTCAGATAATAAACACTGAATCAATAATGAATGTTTTGCCTAATATCTCATGTCAGAGATTGATCAAGTGTAAATCTACAGTAACTATCGAGAAAACACAAGCAGCATCAAATCCTGGTCTGGGAGATAAAGAATATCTGACAGCATCTCAGGTGATTTATTAGAGCTAATAGACTTTTCTCCTTGTGTCCTTTAGGTTCAATTGAGTGCAACAGTGTTATTAATTCAGAAGCATGTTTCATTATTTTAAAGGACATTTAGTATGAAAAAAAAATCAAACAATGTACATTATCAGTAAAATAGCAGCATATTTACACTACCTTGCAAAAGGTTGAGGTCAGTATGATTATTTTTGAAAAATAAATGTATCACTTTATCACTGTTTTCAGAATTGATAATGAAATATTTCTTATCAAATAAATAATCAGCTTTACATCACAGGAATCAAATGCATTTTAATATGAACTAATATTAGTTCTTCTAAACTCTAAATAATATCTCACAATATCACGATTTTTGATGTATGTTTAATCTAACGAATAGAGCCAGACCGATATATCGGCAGAACGATATTATCGGCCGATATTAGGCATTTTCCAAACTATCGGTATCGGCAGTTATAATGGCCGATAAATGAATATTTCAAAAATAAAATAAAAACGAACGAAACACGCTTGAACCATGTCATGAGTGTTGGAGATGTATAGTTTGTCCACCAGAGGGCGCTCAGAAGGCTCGTTGAGTTGGTCGATACATACATTGCTTGAATAACAATTAAAAGAACATCCCCATCAGTTCTCTAAACTCAAATAAGCATGACAAAATTTGTGACTATCATGTCCAGTTTAAAAAAAATAAATAAATAAATAAATAAAATATCGGCCTATATATCGGAACATCGGATTTTAAAACCCAAAAATATTTGTATCGGTATCAGCCTTCAAAAATCCTTTATTGGTCGGGCTCTACTAATGAATGCAGCTTTGGTGACTTTTAAAAACATTAAAATTTTGAACTTGTCATATTTTACCCAAAAATCAAACATAATATCTCTCAGAGTTCTCTAACCAACTGAACATCCGATTACTTCACATTGGCATATGAAGTAATCAGAGAAAACCGCAAATCGTGCTGGAGATGCTAAAAGCCATACCGAGAACACATTTGCATACATTAAAGGTTATATAAAATTATAATGACTAAACACTTGCAGCTCAATCAGACTCCATAGTTGAACATTTGTACAACCTTGTGAGATCTGACCTTTTGCCATCTGTGTGTACGTGTGCGTGGTGAAGAATGTGTAATGGCTTCAGTATGTCAAACACTGAGCGGCTTCACAAACACGGTTTCATCATGTCCAGTAACAGCATCTTATATCAAGTTTCTGTCTTGTGTAACTCTGAGTGTTGTGCAAGAACATCTGCGACAGGAATTTAGGGAGAGAGTCCAAGACATCACAGTCCCCACACACTTCCACCTCTTAATAATAACCATCACCCAGCACACACACACACACACACACCACTAAACTGACAGATCATGTGCAAAACCTATTCTGACGTGACATGCTGGATGAAGAAAAACCGACGTAACATGGTGTATTTTAAACACAGCTTCGAGGCATTTAACAGATCAGAAACAATGTATTTTGCTTGATTTTAAACCCCAATTTGGGTACAAATTCACACAAAGGTCTTACAATTCCAGCCCAATTTATGGATCCGATATCTAATTAGATCTGTAATGTAAGTGCAGTCATTTCCTGTGAGGAGTGATGTGTGCATTATATATTTTTAATGATGTTCGACAATTTATAGGTGTTCTATTCATAGCGGTGACGGAGAACACGATACAGCGATTTTTTTTTTTTAAATGACCTAGTTCATCATTCATCTGCCTCTCGGACCTTGGTGGAAAATTTATGAGATAATAATTTCTCTGACTACCCATAAGTGCTGTCGTTCGCTTCACCTCCTCGAGCTTCACTTCCTGTCTGACTCCAAGTGCATTAGGACATTTTCTGTAATCATCCTTAGCTGTAATCGAACAGCATGTGTTGGTTTAGATGCCAGGTCAAAACGACAGTAAATGAATCTGTCGTGAAACTAACGGCTCAATCATGTTCAAGGTTAGGATGCTCTGACCTCATGAGTCTGATGTCAAAAAGTGGGCTTGCAGAACTATGGTGCATTCATGTGCTATGGTAATTATGGCATCCAAGATGTAGGTGTCTTTGTTTCCGCAGTAGTTTCAATTTTGATATTTTGAGGTCAAAAGGTTCTTGTCTATCAGTCATATAATGCAGGTCTATGGTCACCACCAGAAGTCCAAATTAAACATGATTTAATGACTCGTAAATGTAAGTACACATTGATGGCCTAAGACACGAAACGAGCGGTTTGTGTGAGAAAACGAACAGTATTTATATCGTTTTTACCTCTTGTAATCACAGCCACGTCAAGGTGATCTGAGAGTGTGGGCGCTTTGTGGCTGTGATTACAAGAGGGTTATAAATACTGTTCGTTTTCTCACCCATCCGCTCGTTTCGTGTCTTAGGCCATCAATGTGTACTTACATTTACGAGTCATTAAATCATGTTTAATTTGGACTTCTGGTGGTGACCATAGACCTCCATTATATGACTGACAGACAAGAACGGTTTTTGTCCTAAAAACATTAAAATTGAAACTACTGCGGAAACAAAGACACCTACATCTTGGATGCTCTTGAGGTAAGCTAAAACATACCAAAAATTAATTTCAAAGTGAACTATCCCTTTAAGCAATCAAAAATAGTTTTAGCTAAATAACAGGTCTGGATCTCCATCTTTTTATAACATTACGACAACAAAAGCACTTGAACACAACACACTGGTAAATACCAGTTCACAAGTGGAAAACATCATATTTTCCTTATCACGTGAACGCACCACTAGTGTGTGTATGTGTGTGACTTACTGTTCAGTTTTGTAGCTGGAGCATCTCTCCAGTGGGATCTTCAGGACTCTGCTGGGAAGTCCCACGAAAAGCGACCTATCGTTGTGCAGAATCTGTAGGTTTAGGATTGGCTCCTGCATGTTTTCTGGAAGAATGTTCATCTCCTCCAGGTAACATCCACGCAGACTCTTATTACTGGTGGACAAGGCCTTAATGATGGTGCCGTGCTCTGATTGGTCAATTAAAGAAAACAGCTACAATTAGAAGCGCAAGTTCTTCTAAACATCCCAGCTGAAAAATCCAGCCAGCAGAATAAGGAATTTTTTTGGATCCAGGAGTAGCATCCCAGACGTGAAATAGCCGTCCAAACACATATCCCAAGAGTAGACTAGAAACGACTGGTTTTTCACTGACAGCCCAAACCTTGTCTTGTTTTAAACGTCTGGGCTGTCAGTGAAAAAACAGTCGTTTCTAGTCTATTCTTGGGATATGTGTTTAGACATTTATTAAATGTAGACGTATGGGGTGTGTTTGGACGGCTATAGTATAGAGTGCCGAAGTTATGACATCACTTTGCAGGCCAAAACGCGGAAGTGAGTTAGCATTTTAGCACTCCCGGTTCCCTCGCTCTAAAGACTAGTATGGGATTTTTGAATGGGTTTTTGCCAAATCGCCTGAAATAAGGTCTGTGGTGAACAAAGCCTCTAAATATTTTCACACTTGATCTATGACAAAAAAACACACAGTTATAACCTGCTTGTGGTTTTTTAAACTTTATTGTGTCTGCTTGTGTTTTTTTTTTTTTCAAAATGTATAATGTACTCTTATTTTTTGCGATTTTCCACAAGTCTATGGGGAAAATGCATAGCTTTTCGATCGAGGGAACCCATGCGCCGCTAACTTCCGAGTTGTCCTACAAAGTGACTAGGGCTGGGTATTGACAAAAATTTCACAATTCAATTCGATTTCGATTCACAAGCTTGCAATTCGATTCGATTCAATATTGATTATTTTGGATATCAGTTACAATAAATGGCAAATTTTGTCAAGGAAATCAAATCTCTTAAGCTGTAAACTAGGAGTCTAGTTGTAGCCTATAGGCTTCATTAGCCTATTATGAAGGTAATAATTAACTTTTTTGTAGCTATACAAACACTTAAATTACACTTTTATTTATTTTTATAATAAGAAGATTATATGAAATATAAACATTTAAATGGTGGCTGTCATAAAAACTCACCAGATTTATTCAAATATGCATTAAATATTGAAGAACATTAAGATTATAATGCATATAATATGGTGTATATATTTAGCAAAATGCTCCTCTCTAGAGTTATTTTTTTCCAGCTGACTAACGAGTTTATGTGGGTTTTCTGAGGTAAATATGACGATACATGACATTAATTACAAGCTGTTTAACTGACGTCTTTCCACGGTTGAAACGCTGATTGAGTGAATCAATGTGACATGATACGGATTTCGATAAGTTGTACTCTTATCTTTAACACACTTTCAGATGCTCACTCATGTTTATTTGGCGCTGTGACTGGTATTATTAACCCGGAAGAGAGATCAGCGCTGCTGCTTCTCTTGAGCTGCGCCAGAGCGATCTCACGCCACAGCGCCAAAACGTTGTTTATGTTTTTGAATTTCTAAAGAAAATGGACGGAATTTGAAAATTGAGATTTAGTTTCATATCAATAGTAACGATTTTTTGGATGTGCGCAGCCGCGATACAATGTTCCATTCATTCAAATGAAACAGGATGACTAATCGATTCTTGAGATTTAAGAATCGATATCGGTTCGTAAAAATGAGAATCGATTAATATCGAGAAATCGTTATTTAATACCCAGCCCTACAAGTGACGTCATCACTTCGGCACTCAATTAGACGTCTTTTAAACGCAAAATTGCTTGGTTCCCAGCATGAGAAGTTAGTTAGGCCAGCACTATACCAGCTCTATCCATCATAACCCAGCCTGGACCAACATGGAAATCATGCTGATATATGCTGGATTTGCAGCAGAGATTGGAAAACACAATGGAGGACATGCTCTTGAACAGCATGCGTGTCAGATTTCTTTGCTTCCTTTACCTGTGCCGATGTACATGACGTGGTAAAGCGTGTCCCTCCCCTGAACGATGTCCACGGCCAGCCTGGAGTAACGGATGTTGTCCTGCATGACCAGAGGATCTGTGGAGATGGGCTGAACCACCTCACTCATGAGGTAGAGCCTCTGGGCGTCTTGAAGACTGCGCTCTGTTAGATTACTGCCTGAACCCGAATCATTCACTGTCCCACACTGGCAGAGAGAAAAAAAACCAATTGAGTACTGGATTTGGTGCCAGAAGGTGCAGCTGCAGCATTTAATTTCCTTCACCTGAAAGTTCGGAATAGGATTGGGAGTGGAAAGCCAGCTGGTCCGAGGGTTCTCCTGATAACGGAAGGGTCCGTTAAAGGCCTGTGTGATGGCACTAAGGTTAAACGCACACACTGCTGACGCAGCAATGCTGTTCCTGTGAGGAGAAACGAGAGAGGGAAGTGAAGCAAATTCTACATTAAAAACCTTGAATGGAGAAACAGGACCATTCAAAAGTTTGGGGTCATTAAGACTTTTTTTTTTGTTGAAAGAAGTCTCTCGTGCTCACCAAGACTGCTTTTATGTGAACTAAAATACATTAAAACAGTAATGTGAAATATTATTACATTTTAAAATAAATAGTATTCGAATATATTCTAAAAATATATAAAAAAAATTTGCTGTGAATTTTCAGCATCATTACTCCAGTCTTCAGTGTCACATGATCCTTCAGAAATCACTCTAATATGTTGGTTTGCTGCTCAACAAACATTTCTGATTATTATCAATATTGAATAGAAAGTTAAAAAAAACAGCATTTATTTAAAATCAAAGTCTTTTGTGACATAATAAATATATGTATAATGAACCTTTTCAATTTAAAGGAGTAGTTCACTTTTGAAAAAGCTTTTGCTGATAATTTACTCACCCCCATGTCAGTCAAGATGTCCATGTCTTTCTTTCTTCAGTTGAAAAGAAATTAAGGTTTTTGATGAAAACATTCCAGGATTTTCTCCATATAATGGACTTCAATGGGAACCAAACGGTTCAAGGTCCTTCAGTGCAGCTTCAAAGGACTTGAATGAAAAAGGGACTTATCTAGGACCCTTCGAGTCATGACTCGAAAAAAGATTTGTTCATTTTGATGAACGAGTTTGAACAGAACAGTTCATCACAGAACAGAGCAAGGCGAGCATTTGTGCTTATAAAACGTAAACTTTTTTATTTATTTTTTGAATGAGCGATCATTTGACTTGATAAGACCCTTATTCATCGTCAGGTGTCGTTTAAAGCCCTTTGAAGCTGCACTGAAACTCTCATTTGGACCTTGAACCGTTTGGTTCCCATTGAAGTCCATGAAAAAAGACATGGACATCTTGGATGACATGGGGGTGAGTAAATTATCAGCAAAAGTTTTTTTTAAAAGTGAACAACTCCTTTAATGTGTCCTTGCTGAAGGAAAGTTGTAACAAATCTTAGTTACCTGTATATTATATATTATTACCGGTATATAATGTCTAAGAAGTAATTATGTTTTGTCACAAAACTGCATTTTCCGCGTGTGATGAAGAATCCACTCACACATTGGTGGTGAAGACTCCGTAGATGAGGTCCTGCTCAGGGAGGTAGAAGGTGCTCTGCAGCTCATGGTAGTAGAAGGGAACATCTCCAGAGCGGGAACAGTTCAGCCGAGCCTTCATGAAGGTGGTCCATGTGTCTTCCAGCAGGAAACGACCGCCGATGTCATTCTGACACACGCGGGCCACACGAGAGAAGACAATCTTCCCACAATCCTGTTCTACCGCGTTCTCTCGGAGAAAGAGGTATGTGAAGCGGCCCACCTCGTACGCAGAGACAAAGTGAGGATCTGTGGAGAGAACGGGGAGGAAGATGATGCAATATATTACTATCACAACACTTTTTTCAATACATAGCCATAAATAAATGGGAGACTCACAAAGTCGCATTTCACCCCAAAATCAGAAGAAATTGCGTAAAAGAAATTGAAGAATATTTAACACTATTTTATTACAGTAAAATACAATATTTAAATTAGGGCTGGGCAACGATTAATCGCGATTAATCGCATCCAAAATAAAAGTCTGCATTTACATAATATATGTGTGTGTAATTATTTTGCATATATAAATACACACACATGCATGTATATATTTAAGAAATATTTGCATGAATATACTGTATATATTTATACATAATTTATATTAAATATAAATATTAATATTGTATATATTAACAACACATTTTTCTTAAATATATACATGCACGTGTGTGAATTTTTATATACAAAATAATTATACGCAATACACACACATATATTATGTAAACACAAACTTTTATTTTGGATGCAATTAATCGCGATTAATCATTGCCCAGCCCTAATTTAAATAAAACATTTTCACATCGTAAATTTTTTATTGGTGAATTTTCAAATATGTTATGATGCATATAAGCTAATTATATATGTTTAAATAAATTCTTTAAAAAAGGCATTTTTAAATCATAAACATAATGTAACCAGGTGTTTAGCTTTTTTGTTCATTGGTGAATTCTCTCTAATACAGTATTTTGTTGCTACAATAAATACAATAAGCTATTTCAAATAGAAATATAAAAGTAACAACAAATACTACCAAGAATATACAATTTAAGAATGATTATTTGGTTCCTTTTACAGTACAGTACTTACAGTGTACTTACCTAGAAAGTACTGGCTAATATAAAGTAAGTACATGGAACAGGGGTAGGTTCAGGGTTAGTACTAGTTATTACCCAGAAATTGCAGTTACTAAAATAAGTACATATCATTTACATGTGTAACTGGACTGTAAAAGGAAGCGTTACCGATTATTTTTGCAGTGATGAGAATATACTGTCGTTTCACAATACAAATAAGCTCAAAAAGTAGGCTTCATTTTCTTTTAGCAGAGCATAATTTCTCGATTTTGGTTATGGAATGGACGCGTTCTTGGCAGGTTTTGTCAGATTCTCTGATATGTCTGTGTGTGTTGTCCCACTGTACCACTGAGCCATTTGGAGTTGTACTGGGCGGTCCGCAGGGGTGGCATGTTCCCCAGACTGCGGTAAATAATAGGGTCACGGCTGGAGAAATCAGTCACAGTGGCCGCATAGACTTCTCCACTCTCAGTTATCATCGCTGTAGAGTTGTGTCGAGGGTCGTAGGGACAGCGCGCCACCCCACTGATGGACTCCAGAACGCTCGCCATGTCAGTAATAGGACGAGTCGTACAGATGGGCATGAAAGCATTAGTGCCACAGGTAAACAAACGGCTGCCGTTCAACAGGAGGACACGAACATAGTTCTGACACTCATCCTGAGAGGAGCAGAGGAAGAGAAGAGAGATTTCATTTCACACATATAACATACAAACACTATAACATACATCCATCCATTCATTCAGATCTTTCTTCTCACCTCTGTCTTTCCTTTGCTCTGGCAGGACCTCCTGGTGGTCTCGTCTACGGCCCATTCTGTGGCCTGCAATCAAAAGACAATTAACATTACTGGAAGAAGATGGGGGATATGAGGGTAAAAAGCACGGTAATCCGAAAATACTACAGGTTTTCTACTAATACAAAGCTTAAAGGAGTAGTTCACTTTTGAAAAAACTTTTGCTGATAATTTACTCACCCCCATGTCATCCAAGATGTCCATGTCTTTCTTTCTTCAGTCGAAAAGAAATTAAGGTCTTTGATGAAAACATTCCAGGATTTTTCTCCATATAATGGACTTCAATGGGAACCAAACGGTTCAAGGTCCTATTTAGTTCCCATTGAAGTCCATTATATGGAGAAAATCCTGGAATGTTTTCATCAAAAACCTTAATTTCTTTTCGACTGAAGAAAGAAAGACATGGACATCTTGGATGACATGGGGGTGAGTAAATTATCAGCAAAAGTTTTTTCAAAAGTGAACTACTCCTTTAATGCTAAATCCTGAAAACTGGTATCCTTTCAATGATTCGACTGAGTCAATGATGTGGGTGACATGTTGGAATGATAAACACAGTAAAAAAAACAACCACATTTAAACATTTATTTCATTACAAAATTGTTAAAGGTCACACAAGGACTACTGTTTACTGATGATTCAAACAAATTTGTAAATTGTTTACTTGTGCCAGTTTCATTCAAAACGAACTGTCCGAACAAACAAACTCCTTAAAGTGTAAAATTCCTTTAACCTTTAAACAGCCATGACGACAAATCCAAACCTCTGACTTTGATTTACATTTAAGGAGGCAGAAAAATATAACATCCTCTTAATGCAGTAAAACTATGAAACAGTCGTGGGAAGCTCTTCCATTCGTTCAGCTTCTTTCCTTAATGTCAAGAAGGTACAAAACACACAATAATAGGAGACAAAGAGATGGAAGATGGAAAGTTTCGCTGCAAATACACAATATGACTCCATGGCGAGGCAGATGTGTGAAAGAGCAATTGTGTGACATTTAATTAGGCAACACTGGACGGTTTGTCCTAATCGCATTCGTTCTCTTATCTGAAACAAAAACCGTTGAATGTGTGGTTTCACTGGTTTTAGACGTTCTTCCTCTCTTTTGTTCCTTGTCCCTCCCTCTCCTTTCACAGGCTGCTTTGTCATGTTTATCTGTGTTGTCATTGCCTCAAAAATAATGTAGACCAGAGTCTCTCTCTCTCACACACACACACGATAGACTGAAATAATAACGATGATTTTGTATTGGTTGTGGACCTTGCGAGGATCCCAGCAGGCCCTGAATAGAGTCAGACGAGTGGAAAGGTCACAGATAAAACATCTAGATTTTTAAACTCACACTTTCACACATGAGGGTGAACTTCATCCCAAAATCTAAATATACAGTTTACAGTACACCACAGTTCAAAAGTTTGGGGTAAGTAAGACTTTTTTTAGCTGAAAAAAATTAATACTTTTATTTGGCAAGGATTCACAAAAGGGATAGTTCACTTTGAAATTAATTTTTGGTATGTTTTAGCTTACCTCAAGGGCATCCAAGATGTAGGGGTCTTAGTTTCAACAGTATTTTCAATTTTGATATTTTTAGGTCAAACCGTTCTTGTCTGTCAGTCTTGAAGGTCTATGGTCACCACCTCAAAAGAACAAGTCCAAATTAAACATGATTTAATGACTCGAGCGTTTTGTGAGAGAAAACGAACAGTATTTATATCGTTTTTACCTCTTATAACCACAGCCACATCCAATTGATCTGAGGGCGCGGGTGGCTGCGGTTACAAGAGGTAAAAACTATATAAATACTGTTCGTTTTCTCACAAACCGTTCGTTTCATATCTTAGGCCATCAATGTGTTCTTACATTTACGAGTCATTAAATCATGTTCATTTTGTACGTTGAATGAACCAAATGACTCGAAAAAAGATTCGTTCATTTTGATAAACGAGTTCGAACAGGAGAGTCACGAACACTCATCGCAAAACAGAGCAAGGCGAGCATTTGAACTTATAAAACTTTTTTTTAAATGAGCGATCATTTTGCTTGATAAGACCCTTATTCATCGTCTGGTGTCGTTTAAAGCCCTTTGAAGCTGCACCGAAACTGTCTTTTGGACCTTGAACCGTTTGGTTCCCAATGAAGTCCATTATATGGAGAAAATCCTGGATTGTTTTCATCAAAAACCTTAATTTCTTTTCGACTGAAGAAAGAAAGACATGGACATCTTGGATGACATGGGGGTGAGTAAATTATCAGCAAAAGTGTTTTGAAAAGTCAACTACTCCTTTAAGCTTTCACTCTTTAGTGGTAGTTTGAGAAGTTTTAAGAGCAACATTGCATATACTACAAAAAGAGGTTTTTTAAGAGGTTACATTTTTGATAAGTGACATCTGTGTTTCCACACTCTTGAAAAGCACCAGGCGCTTCTGATGAGCACAAACACGTCTACAAAGGAGCTGATTACACATCTTCTGACAAACAGCATCTGTTGATTTGACTTTAGCAGACTACATTTCATTCCTGTTGTTTAGGAGAAAGAGCGAAACAAAGAGAGAGAGAGTGCAAGGTTTCAGAAAGCAATCATCAATCTAACCGTGCCTCTGCAGTCAGTCACTGAACAACACGTGAAAGACGTCTTCATTTGAAGAGCAGGATTCACCCTGAAAAGATCTCGGGGTCAGACTCGCGTCGCCGCTGGGTGTTGAGGGGGTTGTGTGTTTTCTCAAGATCTTCTCATCCTTGTCTTTTCCACCAGTCACGATCATTTGACCTCAGCTAAAACACCGTTATCTGCTCTCTCTATCTGTCTCTGCGATCTGTTCCTCTCAACAGTGAAGCGACTGACACAGAACCATTATCACACCAGATATATTTCAAGTGAGATATAATAAATCATTAACATGAGATCCAACAGATCCAAACCTCTTGTTATCAGTGTTGGAGGGGTTATGCATCACAAGTAGTCAGATTATGTCTTTCAAGTAACTAAAGTAACTCACTACTTTTAAATATACAACAAAATATCGGAGTTACTTTTCCAAATCAGTAATGCAAGTAACTTTGTTTTCTTGTTTATTGACAGCCAGCGCTCCTGTCAGAGGTGTTGTGTGTGAACATGATGCTTATTGTAGCTCTAGACTAAAGTAAAGAAATGCAATTACACACTTTAGGGGATTAACGCAATATTGTAATTTGTAACTTTTACTTTGTAACTTTCCACAACACTACTTGTTATCACATCTTTCATATACTGACGTGGCTGATGTGTGTAACCTTGTTGAATGTTAATGTCTGGATAAGCCGTTTGGTGTTCTGTATGTTTGACTAAAAATACAGTGCGAGTTCCCAGAAAATCAGGTATTATTTTCTAAACTCAGATTGCAGATTACACACATTTTCAATCTTCATATTATTGGACTTTTCTAATTTATTTATAGGCGAGCGACACTTTAATTGTCCCAATTGACACTTTCATTGTCATTAATTGTGAAAGTAAAGTGATTAAAAAAACAGATAAGAAAGTAAAAATTGAGTAAAAATGATTTATCAATTTTGAGCAAAATTACAGCTATACACCGTGTAACTACACGCGACGCACGCGATAATCTTTTCCATGTTAATCAGATTTTGTCCTAACCAGACGCGACGTCGACACGCAAAGTTTCTAATTTAGAAACGGTTCCTATTTCTGCGACGTCGCGGCTGACAGATCAATGAAGATATTACACAGGTAATGAGTACATGAGTAGACATTACATTATTTTTAGTTAAAAATAGGTCACTGTGCCACAAGCGATAACGGGTAATTTACCTCAGATTTTGAAAGCATATAATATAGCGTTCAAAATGAATTCTATGCAAACATGCAACTGTACTTCATCACAAAATTAGTCAATGAGTATATATTTGTTGAATGTTTTGATTTTTAATAATGTTATTTCTTGATTTGATTATGTCCTTACCCATTTCAAATGCGAGTGCTGGCCAGCAGTGCGCTTTCACAGAGAGACTCCGCCCACACGCTGTTCTAAGTGGCTGTGATTTTTGATTGACGTGTGGTGACTCACAGTCGCGTCGCTTATAGTGTGGAGCGTGTGGACAGACACACTTGCTGTCGCTGGAATTTTATCGCGTTGTGTGTAGTTAGGACACGGTGAAAAGCTTTTTTTCTTTTTTATTTTGAGTAATTTCCACTCAAGCTGCAATTCAAACATAAAAAGCTATGAAATTATCTTAGCATTTTTTTTATTTAATTCTTTTTTTAAATGTCATTGGCAGAATGCATGATGATTTGAGATGGAGACTGGAAGTAAAAATATGTCATGATGGAGAAATGAAATATGCAGACATTTTAATGCATGTGAATGAAATAAGTCACAATTTTTTTTCATAACGGAGATGTAAAGGGAGCTTGTGAGGAGCTTGTCATACAGCCATGTGCATGTATGTGTGTGTGTGTGTGTTTGCTCGAGGGGTGACTGTGGGTCACTCTTGTGGACACAGGGTCACGAGGTCACCCTAAATCACTGGATTCTGACAGATTCTTTAGCGGTCTTCCTCCAGGGCATCACACCCCCTCTCAGGGTTACGGAGAACGTTTATAGAGTTCACCAGCAGGGTCTTCAACACACACCAGAAAAGTCACTCTTAAATATCACACAACCACTCAAAGCTTTCAACAGGGATGTCACGCAAGCGCAACACAATCTCAGCGTTCCCAACTCACAGTAGGTGCAGCTGTGGTTACAAAGTAAGTGGATGCGAATCATCCTTGAAGATGAACAACGGCAATTCGAAGCCACTCCCAGATGGGATTGCGGTCTACTGGCAGATTCTCAGCTCAAACACAGCAGACACACACACACACACACACACACCAGGACAGATGTCTGGGACTATATTCTATCTACACTTTATTTGCTAGTGAAGGTTTTTTATACCCGATAAACAAAAACAAATATATATATGAAGAGTTCAGATGCAAAAGCCTCTAAGTGCCATTTTAAATTTTCTTCTAGAATGATCATTTTTATCAAGCTTGTATATTTAAGTTCAGTGATTTCACTTAAATGGCAATGATAATTACCTATTAATTGTTATTTAAGTGAAATTACTGAACTTAAATATACAAGTTTGATAAAAATCATCATTAAAGAAGAAAATTTCAAATGGCATTTAGAGGCTTTTGCATCTGAACTCTTCATATGTATATTTAATGAATAGATTTTATTATTACCCTGTTCCCAAACATTTTCTACCCTGTCTGATCATTATGAACATAATCTACACAAAAACAAGAAAATTAGGATTTTTTTTTATTCCAATGAGAACAAATAGTAATATTATATATATATATATATATATATATATATATATATATACTGTATATATATATATGTGTGTGTGTATATTTAATGAATAGATTTTATTATTACCCTGTTCCCAAACATTTTCTACCCTGTCTGATCATTATGAACATAATCTACACAAAAACAAGAAAATTAGGATTTTTTTTATTCCAATAAGAACAAATAGTAATAATAATAATAATATATATTATTTTGGGTTCCTCCTTTCAAGAGATTAAGAGGAGAGGAGGTCAAATCAGGACACATCTATCTTGGAAGTCAGCCAATCTGCACAATAACATGCTACTAAAGGTGTGTGTGATGTTTCAGCTTCTGTGTGTCAGCACTTTTGAACATGTGGACAACCATAATAAAAGACTGAGTCTGTGCATGTCTGGCATGAGAAGAATTAAATGGACAGTGCTGGTTCTGCATTTCTAGAGATGTCAAGATGATTGAATGGACAGATGGGAAGGAGTATGAAGAGAAAGAGAAAGTAGTACCTGCAGGAGGGAGATGTTGCTCAAACTCAATCGGAAGAGATGATTCCTACGGAGAGAGAGAGATAGTTTAGGTTTGACAGGTTTGTGTGTGTGTGTGTGTGTGTGTGTGTGTGTGCGCGAGTGTGTGTGTGTTACCTGGCTCCCACTATCAGCTGGTTCCTGGTGAAGTCGAGTGCGAGCGGCGAGTAGTCGTTCACTCCAGGCATAGAGAAAGAGGACAGCCACGGGCTCAAAGCTGCGGCACAGGTGACATTTACACAGTTAGCTGTGAGCCTGGATGTGTGATCTGTTGTTTAGCTGCTGTTTTCCACTGTTTAGACAGATGTTAACTCTAATCCCACAAGTCAACTCTATACAAATGATAATGTGCCGACTATCAGCATTTCCTCTGCATGTTGCTTTGAGCGATTGCACTGATTTGTCTCTGCACACACACACACACACAGTGCTGATGTTTAGCATCGGGAACTGTGAAGAATCTGAGAGAGTCTGATTCATGCATTAATAATCTTGTTCATGATAAGATGCATTATCCACTGATGACATTTACATGCAAAAAAAACATTTCCCTGCATAATGTGATAGAATGTCATCTTAGTTACTGACGTCTACTGTACACTATCGTTCAAAAGTTTAGGTTGGTAAGATTGTATAACGTTTTGAAGTTCTTCTGCTCACCAAAGCTGCAGTTATTTTATTTGAAATACAGTAAAAAAAACAGTAATATTGTGAAATATTATTAACATTTGAAAATAACTGTTCTCTATGTGAATATATAGTGACATGTAATTTATTCCTGTGATTAAAGATGAACTTTCAGCATCATTGTCACATGATCCTTCAGAAATCATTCTAGTATGATGATTTTGTTTTTAAGAAACTTTTCTTGTTGAAAACATTGTATGCTGGATGACAACATTGTTGCTTAATGATTTTGCATATATTAGCAATTACATACATATTACATATATATAGCATATATTTGAAATGGAAATCTTTTGTAACATTTATACATGTATTTACTCTCTAACCCTGACTTTTGGACTGTACTGTATAATCAGATTTTTTTTAACCTTCAAATGGTCTTCTTTTCCTATTTACACTTCTGGCAATTGATTGAGTAATTGTACAAAAAATATACATTTTTAATCATACAAATAATATATCATTTTTTTGTTTACTTCTCATCTATTCATTAATGCTGTGTTTTTGGAGATATAAAGTACTTTTGTATCCATATACCACACAATTCCTCAACTACACCATTAGCTTGTATATTAAATATTATTATTTTTTATGATGCATTGCATTTATGCTCTAGTACAAGGCCTTCATTTCTGTGTAAAAATTTTCAGATTCATGCCGGATTTTTTTTTTTTTTTTTTTTTTTTTGACACATGAAGAAAATAAATTTCGTTTTTTTCACATTTCCCATTCATTTTAATGTGGGGTCATATTGACCCCGAAGACCAGAAGTGTAAACATTTTTTTCTTAAAAACCTTCAGAACAAACGAAAACGAATCGCCCAGTTTTTTGTGTGTGTATAGATAGATAATGTATGAAAAGTCACTAAATCTTATTCCACTGAGATGAAGGGAACCTTTTTTTTATTAAGTAAAAGTCGATTGGCCCGATTGAGGGCTACGTTACAGAGCCCACCAACAATCGTGCATTCAGAGGCAGAAACAGCTGCTAGCAACCTGGGGATCTCCAGCTGTATGTGTGAAGATACTTAATATATGGTGTCCTGTTTAAGAGAAACATTGAGAGAGACAAGGGAAAGCGACGGTTGGGAGTCCAAAACACACACACTGGACCTTTAATGAGGTGTGAAACCAGACGCCAGTCACAACATCAGCCACAAATGAGAGAACAACACACCTCACATACAAAGGCTGGGAGGAGGTGAATGAATAGCTGGCAAATTCTTGTAAAACTTTAAATACACCTTTGCAACCTTTCTTTTCAAAATGTTTTAGTGCACTCTAAAAAATCCAGGGTTGTTTTAACCCAATTTTGAGTAAAATATGGACAAACCCAACAATTGGGTTAAAATTGTAATTTAAAAATGTAACCCAATGGCTGGGTTTGTCCATATTTTACCCAAAATTGGGTTAAAACAACCCAGCATTTTTTAGAGTGTGATCTGTATGTGTATCGCCAAACACCTTGACATCAATAAACCTGTCACGGGCTGGTGTGCTTCTTATTGGAGGTTAAGGAGAAGATACAGAAGCCCAAAAAATATTTGGTTACTTAATATTATTTTGGAATATCACACATAAAAATGTTATGTGACCGCCTAAAATTACATCGGCTACAACAGCAAAAACACCAGTGCTTATTTGCCAATCAGAACATTAAAGTAGTAGTTCACTTTTAGAAAAACTTTTGCTGATAATTTACTCACCCCCATGTCATCCAAGATGTCCATGTCTTTCTTTCTTCAGTCGAAAAGAAATTAAGGTTTTTGATGAAAACATTCCAGGATTTTTCTCCATATAATGGACTTCAATGGGAACCAAACAGTTCAAGGTCCAAAAGACAGTTTCAGTGCAAACTGCAAACTGTTCAAAGGGCTTAAAACGACTCCAGGCGATGAATAAGGGACTTATCAAGTGAAACGATCGTTCATTTAATAAATATATAATAAAGTTTAAGTTTTATAAGCTCAAATGCTCGCCTTGCTCTGTTCTGTGATGCGCGTTCGTGACTCTCCTGTTCAAACTCGCTTATCAAAATGAACAAATCTTTTTTCGAGTCATTTGGTTCATTAAACGAACGAAAGGAACGAATTGACTCAGAAAAAGATTTGTTCATTTCAAACAGGAGAGTCACACAGCATTTGAGATTATAAAACTTAAACTTTGTTATTTATTTCTTTAAATGAGTGATCGTTTCGCTTGATAAGACCCTTTTTATCGTCTGGAATCGTTTAAAGCCCTTTGAACTGTTTGCACTGAAACTCTTTTGGACCTTGAATCGTTTGGTTCCCATTGAAGTCCATTATATGGAGAAAAATCCTCCTGGAATGTTTTCATCAAAAACCTTAATTTCTTTTCGACTGAAGAATAAAATAAATATTTAAGAATAGAATAAATATTTTCGACTTAGTAAATTATCAGCAAATTTTTTTTAAAAGTGAACTACTCCTTTATGCCAATTAGAAATGCTCTCTATCTCGTGATAAGTTTGTGCATTCAGGTTCGTTGACATCGCATGTTTTTTTGGAGAAAGAGCGTGTTAAAGGGATGGGGGTGTCTTCACTTTTAGACTTATTTTTCTGTTTCCCAGATTGTATGTTAATCTATGGGTCTCCTAATGTATTTAATAGTACATCAGCTACTAGTGCACTTTACTATTACTAGTGTGTAATGGAGGAATTATAAGACATAAACACAGTGTGGCCTTGCATATTAACAGGACAGACTGTGTCGATTAGTGTGTGATATTAGAAACTGCAGGGTGTGAACACACTCCTGTCCTGATATTACACACAGCTGTGTTAACCTTTAACATCTGGGCAGCATATGATTAACAGAAAACTGCTGGCCGTTAACTAGTCTCAGATGAAAACATACACTGGATCGGCAACAGACCATTAATGAACGGACTGATGTATTATCCATACAAAGGGTGTTTTCTCAAAACAGAGAGCTCTCTTTTCGCACTTTCCAGGAGACAAAGTGCACACTTTTTAACAAATGAAGCGAGGTTTGTCTCTTTAAAGCTACACTGTGTAACTCTTTACTCTTAGCTAAAAACACTTCAAAAATATATGTATATTTACTTCGTTCAAGTAATAAAGTATTCTTGTGAATGTATAATATGCCATTGAAAATACATACGGGTAAGGGGTTCTAATGTCGGTCGCCATGTTGCCCCTCCATCTTGAAAGTACATTAGCCAAAGAGGGACATACCCGTTAATTCAAGCTTCGCCTTTCGCGTTTACGTTTGAGTTTACACTCATGGACGAGGTCGAACTGGAAGCCATGTTAATCTTGGACTACACTAGGAGTTAAAACGAAATCGGAATTGAGAAGAACAGAAACTAATATTCACTGGATTGTCATATACATTTTCACCACTAGATGGAGGTAAAAAACACACAGTGTAGCTTTAAAGTAAGACAAATCCATTCACTTGCTGGGCATATTGGCATAAGCTAATACATAAATAAACATAAACTCTGTGCCATAAACTTCTTTAGTCTAAATCATGTCACTAGTTTATGATAGAAATCTCTTATTCTCACCAAGGCCATTCATCACCACATTTACTCGATGAAAAATACAGTAAAAACAGTAATATTGTGAAATAGTGAAAAATTTTGAAAATAACAGATCCCTCCATCATCATTATGAATCTCTTTACTGTCACTTCTGATTAATATAACGCCTTCCCGGGGAATAAATAAACGCAGCTGATGTCTTTTTAAAAAAAAAAAAGGTTCTTGTATCTGAAGGCCACAGCCGCCAAACTGAGCAATGTGATTTCTCCCATTCAATTATCCTCCTTATGCTGTCTGCGGTTTCACTTAGATGGTCTCGTCTGGTCTAGATGCAGTTTTTACAAGCTCGACACACTGTCTGAGACGTTTGGTCGAAAAATAATTCAAAAGCTTATCGTTTTAACCTTTGGCTCCAAATGCGAGTGATGAAAAGGGCAGGAGAGAGCGAGGTATTTTACACCCACCTGTGTAGGAGGTAACAGGGTGCAGTTTTCTCCGGCACTCTTCAGGCAGAGAGGGCACAGGCTCGGGGTCAGAGGTCGCTGGGAGCGATGGCGTCTGTGACGTGACGAGAGGCAAAGAGAGGAGGTGGAAGAAGACAAGTCCAGCGAAGGACAGTGGTCCACTCATTGTTACCGGAACAACCACTCCCGAACTTAGGAAAAGCGAGAGGGTCCTGACATGGCGAGAGATGAAAAAAAAAATCATCATGTTATTAAAATTGGCATCTTTTTGGAAAGCCCACTGAGTAGGGCTGTCAAACGATTAATCGCGATTAATCGCATCCAAAATAAAAGTTTGTGTTTACATAATATGTGTATGTGGGTGCACTCTGTATAATTATTTTATATATATATACAGTATATATATATATATATAAATACACACACATGCTTGTATATATTTAAGAAATATTTTCACTGTATATAGATTTATATATAATTTATATTATATATAAATATAAATATTTTATATATAAATAATATATATTTTTCTTAAATATACATGCATGTGTGTGTATTTTTACTGTATATATACAGTATACAAAATAATTATACACAGTGCACCCACATATATTACGTAAGCACAAACTTTTATTTTGGATGCGATTAATCGCGATTAATCGTTTTTACAGCCCTACTTTAAATGCAATTAATCCACGAATCACATAATTGCTGTAAACAGGCCTAATTCTTCAAGGAAAAAAACATTTTTGCATTGCAGGGAAGAAAGTATAACAGGTTTGGAATTTGAACAGAACTTCAAAAACAGAAAGACATCCAGATAATTGAATTGAATTGAATGCCTTTATTGTCATTGTACTTTACAATTCAATTTATGAAGAGGGGTTGGTGGTGTGTATTACATTTTCTAAAGTCCATTATAAGTTCTTTTGTTTTTGCAATGTTTAGGATTAGGTTATTGGCTAAAAAGATACACCGTTAGAGACCGCTTCATCTTCTCCTGATGTGTTAGTTCTGCTATTTCTAATCTAATTAACCTCCATCTCTCATCGCTGTAAATGACTGGACCTCTTCCAGGACCTGCAGCAGTTCCACATAATGTTATTCTAAAACACAACATTGATTTTGCTGTAATTGTCAGCCTGTGGACGATGATGCAGCAGATCATCAAAAGATTAATTAGAAGTTGAAGAAGGGATTTTAATGTATTTTCAGCATGTCGTGGGAATCAATGGGTCTCTGTGGTGATCTCGGTTCACCCAGTTAATCTTTCCAGTAGGTGTCTAACAGCGCAGGAGGTTCAGGTAAATACTCATCTGAGATCTTACATACACAGCTTCACTCTTAACAAACTTCCCAGTTAGCCCCCTAGTAAACACATGCTCAATCACACTTAAACATACACTTCCTGATGCGTCACAGAGAAACCACTGAAGCATCTGTCTTGGCTTGACACACAAACACCAAACATTACCCAATCTGTAGAGACAGAGGTGGTCTGATGTCCTTTAACTAAGCACACTTTTCACTTTTTTGTGCTGATTTACTAACTTGATACCATATCAATTGGAAAAACTCATATACTTTGATAAAACAGTCCTTTTAAACGAGTAGTTCACTTTTGCTGATAATTTACTCACCCCCATGTCATCCATGTCTTTCTTTCTTCAGTTCATAAAATGAAAATAAAATATGAAATTTAAGAATGAAAGCTAATTTGAAATATTAATAAATGCTATAATAGTATATAAATAATACAAAACTAATTAGTAAGTTTTAATATTGAAATCATCATTTAATGGACTTCAATGGGAACCAAACGGTTCAAGGTCCAAATGAGAGTTTCAAGGGGCTTTAAACGACACCAGACGATGAATAAGGGTCTTATCTAGCGAAACGATCGCTCACTTAAAAAATAAATAAAAAAGTTTAAGTTTTATAAGCACAAATGCTCGTCTTGCTCTGTTCTGTGATGCGCGTTCGTGACCCTCCTGTTCAGATCAAAATGAACAAATCTTTTTTCATGTCATGACTCGAAGGGTCCTAGATAAGACCCTTATTCATCGTCTGGTGTCGTTTAAAGCCCTTTGAAGCTGCACTGAAACTCTCATTTGGACCTTGAACCGTTTGGACCCCATTGAAGTCCATTATATGGAGAAAATCCTGGAATGTTTTCATCAAAAACCTTAATTTCTTTTCGACTGAAGAAAGAAAGACGTGGACATCTTGGATGACATGGGGGTGAGTAAATTATCAGCAGTTTTATTAAAAGTGAACGACTCCTTTAATTACATGCAGAAAGGAACTACTCTATTCATGGGTTGATTTTATCACAAATGAAAACATACACACTGTGATTTGTTTATTTATGCGTCCTGACCAGCAACACTGGGCGGGGCTATGAGTAAGTTTGATCAAAAACCCTTTTTTTTGCAGTTCCACTTGGTGAACCAATTAGTGGAGACGAAATTGCACACTTCAGCTGTAAAACATTTATTCAAATCTCAAAATCCAGTTAATAAGGAAAAACAGACAGCAATTGGGTGCGGTAAAATTTTCTTAATGGTGAGTATTTGAATTTTCTGTGTAAATCTCTGGCAGCGGGATCCAGACTCTTATTCTTGGCTCGGGATGCGTGACGCTGTGCGACAGACACTTCATCGCAGACCATGTCTAATGTACCTCAATAGCAAAAGACCCTCAATCTCCCAAATCCCGCTTAATACCCCTCAGCACCCTATTCATGGCCCCCTTCTCAGACTCATCAGAGGCTATAGAGGTGGAGAGAGATGCAGACCCATGAAAGCCATGATGGCAGTGACAAATGCACCAAAGAGGAGGCCCGGGTCACACAATGGACAGACTAGGTGGGCCGCCGACAGCCCGTCTGGGCCAATTCATTTTTTTTATCAAAAAAGAGATATGAAAGAAGAAGATGAATAAATAAGGTCAAAGATGGTTGACACACAAATGCACACAAGCACCAATCACACATAGATAACCATGGGGTCAGAACAGGTTAATAATGACCTGACAACTCTTCTAACTAGATTAGACTTTGTGAACAATTCAAACAACGCGTGTTAGATATTTAAAGATGTTTATGGGTAATTCAAAAGGGTACCTTAATTTTTCAGACCAATGTCAAATGTCCCAGTGTTGTTTCTACACAGGCCATGCCTGGTTTAAAGTTCAAAGTATTATAAAACCCATCAAAACGATCACTGATTTGAACATGAGATTAAAGGTTTCACTTTTATTTTTACTAGGTTTTGTCGAAACACTTTGTCTGGTCCATATATCATGTATAAACTACTGTTAAAAAGTTTCGGCTCGAAATTAATACTTTAAGCAAGGCCATATTAAATTGATCAAAAGTGATAGTTAAGAGATGTGTAAGATTACAAAAGTTTTCTATTTCAAATAAATGCTGTTCTTTCGAACTTTCTATCCATACAAGAATCCAGAATTTTTAATTTTTATATTTTTAGGTCAAACCGTTCTTGTCTGTCAGATATATAATGGAGGTCTATGGTCACCACCTCAAAGAGCATGCCCAGAGAAGTCCAAATTAAACATGATTTAATGACTTGCAAATGTAAGTACACATTAATGGCCTAAGACACGAAATGAGCGGTTTGTGTGAGAAAACGAACAATATTTATATCGTTTTTACCTCTTGTAAACTGTGAACTATCCCTTTAACAGAAAATACAAGCTTTTATGATTCTGTTTTTCATCTCACAGACTTCCATCGTAAGTGATGTATAATGTAAATTTGGACGAGCCAAAAATGATGTGCTAATCACAAGCAGAACACAGATGCTGTTGATAGAAGTTGTTTTCAACCCGCCACATTCCTTCAACTTTTCGATTACGCAATGCATAAACAACCGAATTCCTTGGGTATTAAGTTCCGCGTGTAACAAGGACAATGAGTGAAAGGGCGTTGAACGAAATTTCTGCCAAAAAGTCAGATCCTAATCACAGATTTTCCTCAAGCACATTACTGAAAGACAACTAATCCATGACTGACCTGTGTAAACAGTCTGGAAAAAACACAGGGATTAATGCTAATCCACAGTAGATAACACTGTCTCACTGTGACACTGTGCTTTACAACCACTGCAGCATCAGGATGCTGATACAGAGGATTTACACACTCTATTCATCTTTAATTGTCCTCCGTCAGGAAAAAAGCAAGAGGGAGGGAAGGTATAAAGGATAATGAGCAGCTGTGATTGCAGAAGACATTTCAAGGTGAAACTCAGACATGCTGGAGACGTTTAGTTCAGATTTTACAAAAACAACTGAGCTGGTCTCATTAACTTTTTGGTTGAACAAGATTAAGCTAATTAAAGTCCACATGAAATCAAAATTGACCGTATTTAATTCCTGCAATTGTTTTGAGTGGCTAGGGCTGTCAAAATATATGAAAAACGTACACTTAAATATTACTAATATTCAAATTATACGCGATTTTAAAAGGCATAATTTCAGTTAGGAGGAAAAAGCTTTGTACCAATGTACCGCATTAAACTGCTTATTCAAAGCAATGAAATAACATGACTGTCTAAGTGCATAACGTTTAAAATAATGTCTATAAATCAAATCGAATTTTGTAAATCGCATAAACAATTATGAACAAAGCTTGTTTCAGCCACAGAATATAAAATAAAAACGGTAATTGCGACTTTTTATCTCACAATTCTGACGTTTTATCTCTGAATTGTGTGATATGAAGTCGCCATTGAAAGTTATAAAGTCAGAATTGTGAGATATAAAGTCGCAATGGCGAGGAAAAAGGTCAGAATTGCGAGTTTATTCCCCTCTTCGATTGATTGGCTAGAGGAGGAGCTGTCAATCTAGAGTTAGTGGACCAATGGTGATGCTTAAGCCCGCCCTAATTTACATGAAACTCAAATTGTAACATTTGGAAGAGCAAGCGCAGGACACGGAAAGAAGAGCGAAAAACTTGAACATAAATTTAAGTTTCATGCAAAATATCTTTTTATGTGTTTTATTCATTGATTCACGCTTAGTATATTTTGATCCATGACCACGTTGTTTGCTTTTCTAATAGTTTTAAATCACGCTTATTATTTTTTGATAAGTGGCCGAAATACATTTGGCGGGATTTTGATCCCATAACAAGCTTCCATACAAAACAGCATCTTGTATTTACAGTAAGCATCGATTAAAATAAAGAGTGCCGATCACCACCATCAAACAAACCAAATGTGGGACAGTTATAAGTTTGTGTGGGACAATGTGGGACATGTTACCAACACTAAAACATACCCTAAAACTGTTATATAATGTCTTTCTAACTTGATAAAAACATTTATATTCTGGCTTTCAGCTGATAAAACTTCTTTGTTCTTTAGTCCCTTCCAGAAAAAATTACTATTACTATTAGAAACAGTTCTGACCAAGTCCAACTAAAAGACCAACTTTTTAGAAAGGATGTGAATTAAAACAACCACAGCAGGCAACAGGTTAAACAACAACAGTTAAATACCATTAAATTAAAATTTTTATTTACCGAATTATCCATTTGTTTTCCGACAGGGAACATATGGAACGAATCACCGGTCCACATTTTGATTGACAGCCGTCACAACCTACTAGTGACCGTGTTTACTCCTTTCTTTTCAACCATTGGATACACTCTCAGAAAAAAAGGTACAAAAGCTGTCACTTGGGCTGTACCTTTTCAAAAGGTAAACTTTTGTCCATTTCATGAGCTAATAAGTACATTTTAGGTGTTAATATGTACATTTTAAGTGTTAATATGTACATTTTAGGTGCTAATATGTACATTTCAGGAGCTAATATGTCCATTTTAGGTGGTAATATGTACATGCTAGGTACTAATATGTACATTTTAAGTGTTAATATGTACATTTTAGGTGCCAATATGTACATTTTAGGTGCTAATATGTCAATTTCATGAGCTAACATGTCCGTTTTAGGTGGTAATATGTCCATTTTAGGTGCTAAAATGTACCACTAAGGTACCAATATGCAGCCTTTGGGTACAAAAGTGTACCTTTTGAAAAGGTACAGCCCCAGTGAAAGCTTTTGTACCTTTTTTTCTGAGAGTGTAGGATATAAAACACGGCTGTTGTATTTGTACTTATGACGAAGCCTGTTAAATATAGGTGAAAAACTACGCTACAAAAATAATAAGTAAAATGCTTTCTTAAAAAGGCAAAAGAATGCATGCGCATTTTCTTAATATGATAATAAAAAGCCAATAGACTGATGAAAATGTGGGACATTTCTTCAATATGCGACGTGCGGGACAAAATGCTGTGCGAAAACGCAAAGCGGGACGGGTGGTCACCCTACCGATCACAAAAAGTATTTTTTTTTGCATTTAAAAATATAATGACATGCAATGGAATGGGAAAACCCTCAAATACTCTCGAGACATGTCTTTTAAAAGTAAAACTCTGTTGCGAGACGCGGTCAAAGATGTCCGTCTAGCGCTTGTTTGCGTAGAAAACAACTGCAAGAATGATAACCGATGCATCATGAAATGCAAGCACAGTTCCCAGTATAATTCGCCTGTGAAACCACACTTGCGTAAACTATAATTATCCATTCAGTGCAACAATTTCCCTAATTCATTCTGCTTGCATGTCATGAATGAAGTCCGAGCGTAGCCTGTGATTACTGGTGTAAAGTGTCGTCAACAAAAAAGTGCCTTCAAATATGCAGATGCATAACTTAAAATGAATCTTTTGCAGAGTGCATACAAGTTTGTCTGGCTTGCCGATTAAAAAAAAAAAAAACATGCCCTTTGACATCGCCCATAGAGAACATGTAGTTTTTGCCCATGGGAGCCCGCCCGGCCACCATCAATCCAACATTTCTTCTAAGCGCTGAAAGGGGTCACACAACCAAAACCTTTATCCCCAAAAAGAGACCCCAAATGAACTCTATCCCCATTCACGCAGCTGGAGGTCCGTGTGCTACCCTAGTTAGGGCACTAAGACGGGCCAGCAAGCGGCTTTTCCCGGCCAAGAGCCAACGCCAACCTGAGATCCACGTAACAGCTGGGAATTAGCAGTTCCACGGATATTTGTTGTATCTCTGAAAGTGTTTGCCTTTTCAGATGTGTCCTTGTTTGCTATTTTTCCCCCCCAAAACCTTCCACTCCTTCACTGTCTCTGCGTGAAAGCCTTCTCTGTGAGACCGGCCAACTATCTGCCAAAGCAGAGGCTCTTTAGCACGTGAATGAAGTCCGTTGAGCTTTACAGGCGCTGTGAGCGAGCACACTTTCACTCAGCCCTGACCACAAACCCGACACCGGGCAGAATCTTAAACAGCGCCGCAACAAGACCGGCCTTTTATTGTGTCCATCCTCACGCCATTCACGTTTCACTCATTCTCTCACTCTCCCTTTCTCTGTCCATCTCTCGTTCTCTTTGTGCCGCTAACAACGCGAGGTTTGTGACAGGAGCATCTGTCTAAACAGCGTGTTACGAATTGGTGGCGATATCAAATGGAAAAAGATGGTTTAAATTAACTTCAGGAGCTTGAGACTAAAATCACTGCTTACAGCTGTATGATATTTGCATATTTTGTCCCTGAATCGTTGCACATGGAAGCCTGGCCCTGAATAATGGACGACGTGAACTTGCAGATTCATGCATTTTCATTAGCATGGTTGTTTAGTTTTTCTTTTAGCAATTAATTCTGTGCTATGAAACATCCTACAGCCACTTATTTATATTTATAGATTTCTCCATATAATGGACTTTACTGGGAACCAAACGGTTCAAGGTCCAAATGAGAGTTTCAGTGCAAACTGTTCAAAGGGCTTTAAACGATTCCAGACGGTGAATAAGGGTCTTATCAAGCGAAACGATCGCTCATTTAAAAAAATTAAACAAATAAAAAAGTTTAAGTTTTATAAGCTCAAATGCTCGCCTTCGTGACTCTCCCGTTCGAACTCGTTTATCAAAATGAACAAATCTTTTTTTGTGTGTGTGTGTCATTTGGTTCATACAACAAACGAAATGAACGAATTGACTCGGAAAAAGATTCGTTCATTTAGAATTTTTTTTAATAAATGAGTGATCGTTTCGCTTGATAATACCCTTATTCATCGAATCGTTTAAAGCCCTTTGAACAGTTTGCAGTTTGCACTGAAACTGTCTTTTGGACCTTGAACCATTTGGTTCCCAGTAAAGTGCATTATATGGAGAAAAATCCTGTAAACTACTCCTTTAATGGTTATTTCCACATATACCAATAGTTAACTTCCTAACATTAAATGTTGTACAAGTTAACATTAGTTAATAAATCACATGAAGTGCTTTAGTTTTGCAGAATTAGTAAATTGTAAAGAATCACTTATCAAATGATCATTAACCAATATGAATAAATGCTGTAAAAAATTATATATATATATATATATTTAAAAATTATATTTATTAATATATTATATATTAAAAGTGCATGTATGTATAATATATATTTACATGGGATCAGTAAGATTGTGAAAAAATCTCTCATGCTCACCAAAGGCTGTATTTAATAAAAAACAATTGTGAAATATTATTATAAATAAAATACCCGTTTTCTATTGTAATATATTTTAAAATGTATTTTATTCCTGTGATCAAAGCTGAATTTTCAATATCATTACTCATGTGTCACATGATCTTCTGAAATCTTTCTAATATGATGATTTGCTGCTCAAAAAACATTTCTGATTATTATCAATGTTGAGAACAGTTGTGCTGTTTCATATTTTTATGATGCATTTTTTTCAGATTTTTTTTTTTGCTGAATAGAAAGTTCAAAAGAATAACATTTATTTGAAATAAAAATCTTTTATAGCATTATAAATGTCTTTACTGTCACTTTTAATCCATTTAATTTAATATTACATATTTAAAAACATGAATATGATTCAATAAAAAGCAATGAACATTTAAAATGAAACTGATTTGAAATTAGACAGAATGGAACAACAAAATTAATTCTCATGACAACAAAGACTAATTTTACAACACTGAAATGACAAAATAAGACTGCAAGGACAACAAAAACTGATTAACAAATGAAATTTAACAGAATTTAAATGAACTGAAATAAGAGGGGAGACAGGCAGACAGACAGACAAAAAGAATCAAAATGCAGTGAGTCAGTGACAATATGGACAAAACGGCTAAATTCTTGCATATAGCTCCATCTATTCAGACAAACACAGACGCACTTGAAGTGGTCAATCACACACACACACACACACAGAGGCCAGCGCCACAGGCTGAAAGAACAAAGAGAATTGGACACACAATGGGGGAGGTCTGGAGATGACGGCCAAACTGTTTATCAGAATACCTCAACAAAGACAGGGAGAGAGGGAGGGGACAGAGAGAGAGACGGAAGACGGGATGGAGCGGAGAGAGAGAGGAAGAAATTGGAAAAGATACGGGAGGACACGAGAGGAGGGAAGACGTGGGCAAAATTGTTTCCAGGACAAAAAGAAGCACAGTGCAACAAGATGAAAAGATTCACAGGAAGTGGATAGTTTTACCACGGATGGATAGATTAGAGAAAGAAAAAAAGAAAGAAAGAGTGTACTACTCACCAGGAGTATGGTGTCAGCATGGGCTCATTCCAGAGGAGCGCATCCGATAGACTTCAGATCTGTTTAACAGAATCCTTACGAACAGACAGAGAGAGAGAGAGAGAAATCATTTTAGTCAGCCTCTCACGGATGAGTAAAGGGGGAGATGAAGGGGCTTCGGTAATGTGTGCAGTGAAGCGTTCAGCCCTGTGAAAAACAAACTGTTAACTTTCTCAATGGAGGGAGGCTGCTGGGGGCACGGCGGCTGTGCATGAGGGTGTGTGTGTGTGTGTGTGTGTGCGACATCTGTGACATCGAGCAGACGCAGGGAAAGAAAGGGTTAAAATTCCTCTAAGTGTTCCCAAAACCTCAGATGCGTACTTGCGTATTTCAACACTGATGCTAAACCTTAAAAATGTCTGAATGTCACTGCTTTCGATACAAAACTGTTCAAACGGTACACTTTTTTTCATAAATCCACTAAAAATCTCCCAAAAAAGAGACTAAAACCACTAAGCACACCAGATCAAACCTTCTTAAAGGAGTGGTTCACTTTTAAAAAAAACTTTGCTGATAATTTACTCACCCCCATGTCATCCAAGATGTCCACGTCTTTCTTTGTTCAGTCGAAAAGAAATTAAGGTTTTTGATGAAAACATTCCAGGATTTTCTCCATATAATGGACTTCATTCATTGGGAACCAAACGCTTCAAGCTCCAAATGAGAGTTTCAGTGCAGCTTCAAAGGGCTTTAAACGACACCAGACGATGAATAAGAGTCTTATCTAGAACCCTTCGAGTCATGACTCGAAAATAGATTTGTTCATTTTGATGAACGAGTTCGAACAGGAGAGTCACGAACGCGCATCACAGAACAGAGCAAGGTGAGCATTTGAGCTTATAAAACTTAAACTTTGCTATTTATTTTTTAAATGAGCGATCGTTTCGCTTGATAAGACCCTTATTCATCGCCTGGTGTCGTTTAAAGCCCTTTGAAGATGTACTGAAACTCTCATTTGGATCTTGAACCGTTTGGTTCCCATTGAAGTCCATTAAATGGAGAAAAATCCTGGAATGTTTTCATTAAAAATCTTAATTTCTTTTTGACTGAAGAAAGAAAGACGTGGGCATCTTGGATGACATGGGGGTGAGTAAATTATCAGCAAAAGTTTTTTTTTAAAAGTGGACTACTCCTTTAAGATCACACAGGTGTCCTTGTAGTAGAGTATAAACAGGTAACGTTTTGTTTTAATAAACATAATTTAATATACACTATACACTACCATTCAAAAGTTTGGGGTCTGCAAGATTTTTTAATGTTAACAATACAGTAAAAATGTTTTCTATTTCAATATATTTAAAAAAAAAAATGTAATTTTTTCCTGAATTTTCAGCATCAGAGTTGTCACTTCAGTGAAATCATTCTGATTTCTTTTTATTATTAATGTTCAAGACAGTTGTGCTGCTTCATATTTTTGTGGACACTGCATGATAACAAAAAAACTGGATTCTTTACTGAATTGAAAGTTCAAAAAAACAGCATTTATTTGAAATAGGAATCTTTCACAATGTCTTTACTGTCACTTTTTTTATCAATTTAATGAGTCATTGGTGAATATTCCTTCAATAAAAAAAAAACTCACTGACCCAAAAAGTCGTCCATCACCACCACAATAAATCCAGCGTTATTTTATTTGGCCAGCAAAAATCATTGTGAATAATCAGTAAATATTTAACAGCCTTATATATCAATCTTAGATGTCATATTTATTTACATAATTTGACATGAATAAAAACAAGGCTGTCCAGTACAAAAGTCTTTAAACATGACCTCAACCCTCAAAACAATACAATTACAACCTATTGAACGGACTGTACGTCTATCCCTCACATGTCAAATTGCATATTCCATCTTCCCTGACTAAACAACAACAAAAAATCTGGTAAATGTTCTGCTTAATAAGCATACTTATTCTTTAAAGTAAATGCCATTTGGGTTAGTATTTTGTTATTTAACGCAGTTCCACTCAGGCATTTTTAAGTGTGTGACTTCAGTGTCTTTTCGGGACAATTCAACGAGAACCCTTTGCTTACTCATTAGCTGAGAACAGCACTTTGAGAAGCAGTGGTCTAGTTTCTGTGGCAACAACACCCCTCCCCCCACGACATCCCATAATACAGCTGTAATTTTCTTTTCAATCAATTCAAATCTGACATTTCACAGTGATACTAGTTGAAAAGAGATCAAGAAACATGTTCAATCCCCTCTATCATTATCCCGGTCCCCTCCATCTCCAGGCCCCCATCACACACAAAAACACAATACGCGACGGGGCGGATGATTTAAAATTCATATTTTGTACGACTTCCTCTTGAGACCAACAAATTCACTCACTCACTCACTCAAAGCTCCATTCAATTGAGTCGTTTAATTCAGCAAACTGAAATTACAAGTTCATTCATTTATTCTCTGGTGAATGAGGGAAAGGATGATGTTTTATGCAGGAGTTGCGCTGGATCCACATCATAAAAAGTCAACAAAGTCAAAAGATCTCTCATTATCCAGCATTCTGTACCAGCAAAATCACAACTTTCTGCTTTACTGATTTAACCAGAATGTCAACAAGCTTGAACATAATTATTTGCAGCTGGACAGCATGGCTTTGCTCGTTCACCAGATTTAACCAGCACCAATCCAGTACTACTTATCCCCAAACCAGAATGGACCAGCATAAACCAACCAAACTTCTAAACCAACAAATCACAATAGCTGACAAACTCGACCAGCAAGAACCTGTTGTTTTAGAGATCATGTTCTTTTTGCTGTTGGACAGAATGGATTTGCTTGTCCACCTAGACCAGCACCAAACCAGTACTCAACTCTAAACCAGAATAAACCAGCTCCAGATTAGTACTAACCAGCTTAAACCAACCACCAAAGTTCTCAACCAGCAAAATCACATTAACCAGCAAGAACCTTCTGCTTTGCTCATTTAACTAGAAAGTCAACAAACTTGACGAGGACAATAATGCTTAGCTGTGCGAGCGCATGGCTTTGGTCGTCCACCAGCTTGACTAGCACTAACCAGTGCCAATCCAGTATTAACCCTATAAACCAGAATGGGCCAGCATAAAACAACCACCAAACTTCTAAACCAGCAGCTTAACTACTTAACCAGCAAGAACCAGTTGCTAAATCTTGACAATAAGTTTTTTTAAATTATTTATTTTTTGCTGGCTTTTCTTGTCCACCAGCTAGACCAGCACCAAACCAGTCCATTACTACTCAACTCAAATCCAGAATAACCCAGCTCCAAACACTAACCAACATAAACCATCCATCTTAACCAGCAAGAACCTTCTGCTTCACTGATTTAACCAGAAAGTCAACCAGCTTGACGAGGAACCCCATGCTGTTCTGTTGTGGGACAGTGTAGCTTTGCTCATCCTCCAGCCTGACCAGCACTAACCAGACATAACCAACACCAAACTAGTAGGGATGGGCAACAATTAATCACGATTAATTGCATCCAAAATAAAATTTTGTGTTTACATAATAAGAAATTAAGAAAAATGTGTTATTGATATATCAAATATTTATATTTATATATAATATTAATTGTGAATAAATATATATAAAATATATACATGCACATATTTCTTAAATATATACATGCATGTGTGGGTATTTATATATAAACCACCAAAACCACAATAACTTACAAACCAGCAAGAACCTGTTGCTTTACTAGTTTAATCAATTATGATAGTTGATCATTTTCACATGTTCTATTTCTCTAGTGAACGAAATCAATAGGCTGGTTAGCACCAATTAGATAAGCATCAGACCAGTATTAACCAACCTGAACTAGTGCCAAAACAACACTAACCAGCATTAACCATTTACAAATCATCAGCAACTAACCCGAATCAGCATAAATCACCCTGAACCTGCATGGAAATACATGTTGTTCTATATTAAATAATACACTCTAAAAAATGCAGGGTTGTTTCAACCCAAACTTGGGTCAAATATGGACAAACCCAAACGTTGGGTTAAAAATGTTAATTTAAAATTTAAAAAGTTCAACTTTCACTTTCAACTGTGAATTTTTTAATTACATTTTCAACCCAACATTTGGGTTTGTTTGTCCATATTTGACCCAAATCTGGGTTGAAACAACCCAGCATTTTTGAGAGTGTATGATGAAATAAAAATCAATAGAACAGAATAGAATACAAAACTGTAGAATAGAATAGAATAGAATAGAATAGAATAGAATAGAATAGAGAAACAAAAATACATCAATAGAATAGAGAAACAAAGATACATACAGAATGGCCAACTACTTCAAATCCCAAAGAAGAGGAAAACTATTAAAACGAAAGAGTTGTACAGTATGTTAGCGTTCAGAATCAAGGTAGTCTGGTGTTAATTAGTCGTTGCTCCGCCGCTCACGGGTGTGTTCCCTCTCGAGGGCTTCGCTATGAACATGTCATGTCTGAACAGATGCCAGTATCTTAAGTCATGCTAGAGCAGTGGATGAAGAAACACAAAACAGATTTAGCCAACATGATCTCATTGTGAAATGCATGACTTATACTGTAATCATCTCAGTTGAGCACACATTTTTAGACACTTTTTTTTTCATTTATCCCACTGATTTAACTTAATTCTTACCAATCATTCTTTATAAACACATGCCATATGCTGGATATGGGCCATCTTCTCTGCAGGCACTGAATGTGGGTGTTTGTGAAAAAGAGTTGGATTGAGATGGATTGGGAAATGAGGTAAAATGTTTGGGACGCAAAGTCAAACTCAAAATGAATTCAAAATAAAAAGATTATTTCTGTCAAATGTAAAGTCGCAGTGTTTGAGCACACAGTTTTTCAAGGACAAGAGTACAGAGGTCTTTTGGTTTATGTATTTTGGGTTATTTTAGCTCATTTTATGTGCACCTCACAGGGCTGGCTGTTCATTTCCGAGCTCCTGTGGTTCATCTGATGGCTGCAAACACAAGAAGTCCACAAGGCGGCACGGCATCAGGGGACCGCTTGGTTTAGTCCATCTTCTATTTAATGAACACCCATAT